CCCAGCCTCCTGGGTCCTGGGCACAGGGGCCCCCACACAGCCCTCACCCTTCCCTCCCAGCCTCCTGGGTCCTGGGCACAGGGGCCCCCACACAACACCCTCGTCCTTCCCTCCCAGCCTCCTGGGATCTGGACATGGGGAACCTCACACACCACCCTCACCCTTCCCTCCCAGCCTTCTGGGCCCTGGGCACAGGGGCCCCATACAACCTCTCACCTTTGTCCCCTACACGTGGAGCAGCCCTTTTGTCCTCGGCTTTGAGCCTCTCAGATCAGAGAGGAGAATGCTCAGGGGCCCTAGCAGCTCATGAGTCTGGGCTAAGCCTCTGCACAATCTTTCCAGGAGGAAACTTCCCTGCCGCTCCAGGCAAGAGGGCAGGCCTGAAGCTCCTGGAGCGCTCCCATCCCAAGCTCCTCTACTACTGCTGCCCACCCTGGAGAGCATGGGGCGAGCCACCCTGACACCCAGCGGGCTGGTCCTGCCCGAGTTAATGCCCAACTCAGCCACCGAGCTCATCATGCACGCTAGCACTGGGGCTCATCACAATCTCACACACAGAGAAACCGGCGTGCCGTCGACACCTGCTGACGTGCATGCCAAACAAGTAAGGGAAGAAATGATCACAGGCACTCATGCTCACTGACTGTGCACCTCCCGTGTGTCAGAAATGACACCTAGCACTTCCTACCTCTTCTCTCGAAACCCCGCAACGGGCAAGACAAGTATACCTCATGTTATGAATGAGGGAGCAGTGCACACTACCTGAGTAATTAACCAAGTTACGTGGCTGGGAAGTGGCAGCGCTACCTGTGACCTGGGCCCAACCAACCTTCTCGTGCTTCCCAACCTGCCGCCGTGAAGACAAAGGGCATGTAGTCAAACAACAGTCTCCCCCACAGCCTTCGCGGGGTCTGAGTCCAACTCCGAAGAGAACCAATTCTGAGTCAGGAACTGCCAGGCAAGCTTCTAAGGAGCCAGACAGCATGAGGGTTCCCCAGACTGCAGGCCGCAGCCACGCTGTTTCCCCAGCCTCTGGTAAGGGTGCATCATCCCAGGCTCTAGAACTCACGTCCCAAGGCAGATGAGGACGTGGGGCTCACTGCCCTGCACAGGGGCCCAAATCCCAAAGCTGCAACAGCAGAAGGCGCAGGAACAGTCCCTTACCACCTGGTTCTCGTTGCAGGTGAATCGGATGGTGGTTGACTTTTTCCGAATCCCGTCTGGACATAAGTCGCCATCGACGTATTTCAGGACAATTACGCCATCTCTCCACTGAGGTCCGTCCCTTACCCTGCCGAGGTTCACGGGCTTGGAGCTACCCAGCAGACACGCGGCTGCTTCTGGAGGGCATGGCTCTGCAACACCAGACACAAGAAAGGGTTGCCTTTTGTGACTCCCCAGGCTAGAACAGAACTTCATCAGGCAAGAAATGTCACACATGCTGCAGAACTTCATACGCTTTCTAAGAGTCACTCCAAAATACCTGCTATTTCTTTCACATAAGTCAGACGACAATGACATCACGTTACTTCTCACTCACTTACATGCTGTTCTGTCACAGATGGACTGGGGCAGGCGGGCGTGAGGTGTAGAGGGATAGTTAGGCTGTAGCAGCCGAAATTCTTTCTGAACCCCATACAGGATGAAGCTCAAATTCCCAAATTAAGCCAGAGGAACATTTTAAATGGCCTACATCCACGCACCTCCTTTATTCAAGAAGAGACCAAGAATTCTGCCTGTTTCCCAGTCCCTAAAATGCCTGTGCCATGTGCCCTGGGTGAAGAACTAGCCCCACGCCACAGGGGTAGAGCCGCTGTGTCGCAGTCTGCACGGCACAACACAGCAAGGGGAAGCGGAACCACAGCCTCAAACCACGCAGAGGATGGAACCACCTGCTGCAGCTAAAAATAGCCACACCCGGCCGGGCGCGGTGGCTCACGTCTGTAATCCCAGCACTTTGGGAGGCCGAGGCGGGCGTATCACGAGGTCAGGAGATCGAGACCATCCTGGCTAACACGGTGAAACCCCGTCTCTACTAAAAATACAAAAAATTAGCCGGGCGCAGTGGCGGGCGCCTGTAGTCCCAGCCACTCAGGAGGCTGAGGCAGGAGAATGGCGTGAACCTGGGAGGCGGAGCTTTCAGTGAGCCGAGATTGCGCCACTGCACTCCAGCCTGGGCGACAGAGTGAGACTCTGTCTCAAAAAAAACCCAAAAAAATAGCCACACCCCCTTTGAGGTGAGCCACCCAAGATGCAGGCAGGGCTGTATGAAATGCCACGAACATGGGATGATTTTCATCTTCAGGATTCCAAGGGGCCATGATTGGTACCAAGATCCCTGGAGGTGCCCTTGGTTTCCCATGTACAGCTGACATCCAGTCTCAGCCAAGCACTGCAGGTTTGGGTGAGCTGTCCCTGCACCACAAAAGGACTGACTATACAACTCTCAGCGTAACACAGGCATACACCAGGACCTCCACATCACACCCCCCATCTCCTACCTGCTAAGAAGGATTCCTCACCATGGTTATTACTTCTATCTATTATACCTCCGTCTCCTCATGTTCAGAAAGGGTTATCATGTTCCCAGCAGTCCTCAGCACTGATTTATCCTGGGCCATACTAGGGATCAATTGTTAAGACCCTTAAATCATTCTTCGTCCTGCTGCTTCTTGGCCAAACCATGTCTATGCTGCAGAGAGTAAAGTGCCTCCAAAGAATCCCCATCCTACTTGATTTTCCCCGATAAACTCATGACAAGCCACCACCCCATGAAGAGGCCCTCTCTTGCCAGTGACAGCCTTCGATACACTCACTACAACCACCACCCACGAGGAGGCCCTCTCTCACCAGTGCCGGCGTTCGATACACTTACTGCAACCACCACCCATGAGGAGGCCCTCTCTCGCCAGTGCCAGCCTTCGATACACTTACTGCAATCACCATCCACGAGGAGGCCCTCTCTCACCAGTGCCGGCGTTCGATACACTTACTGCAACCACCACCCCACGAGGAAGCCCTCTCTCGCCAGTGCCGGCGTTCGATACACTCACTACAACCACCACCCCATGAGGAGGCCCTCTCTCACCAGTGCCAGCCTGTGATACACTCACTACAACCACCATCCACGAGGA